ATGTAGACGATTTATTAACGGACTAAGCTAATAAGTCAAGTTAACTCTAGTGTTGGTTTATGGACATTCTAATATAGCAGAAAACGAACGCGTGGATGTAGGATACCTCCCGTTTTAATCCCTGCTCGTGTCAGCCACAGACGGAAGTTAATCATTTTTTAATATAGACAAGTAGGAATTGGACTCATATTTCTTCAGCAGCCAGAACAAGAGCTACATGGCCTTTATACTTGAAATGTAGCACAATCAACTTCTTAAACAGAAGTAAATTGGAAGTATTTAAGACAAAATCTGTTCTAACAAAATCCTGAACTGTAGAACGACATGGAGTTAGGTGCGGCCTGCACTGGATAATCTCTTGTAATAAATGCCTAGTGGCACTCAAAAAGGCACCGTGGCATTTGTTATGTTTATATCTAATTTTGTCCAGAACCAGACGCCATTCTCTTTCCACTTCACTTGGCTACTTACCAAATGCAATCCAAAGGTAGTACAGTAATTTAGTTTATTCAAAACAACAATTAAAAATGTCTTAAATTAATTAAATTAATATAATAAACTGATACGCTTAAGGATACATCTAAGGAAACAGCTAGGTGCGTCAAAATATCTGATTACAAAACAACTATATAAATTCTTAGTCCAATTACTTCTTCAGACATTTTTGAAAAGCTAATATATTGAACGTAGGGCTTGTAACTCTTTAAGTGGACTTTCTTTTCATTCTGCCTTCTTAAACCAAAATAACCTCTTCGAACTTTAGTTTTAGGAGCAAAATAAACTCATGTGGTTAAGTGCGGTGCCTAGTTCTTTGTGAATTTCTTTGTGAAAAAATTATTTATTAAATCGGAATAATTATAACTAATTATTCCATTAATTGTATAAAACCCTAAATAATATTCATCTTAAAACTCAATCTCTTTTGGTAGAGATTCTAAACAAGAAATTAAATACACTTTTTTATCTATACCTTACTTAAAAATTAATTTGTTTTAATAAACAAAAATAACAGTACTAAGCATTAAATTCTTATGCATTATTTAATTTTCATTGAAATTATGATTTTTTACCTTAAAAATGATACACGTTTTGCACAACAAATTCTCTTTTTTTCTAAGAAAAGCGATTTAAATTTTCTTCCGTAAGCTTTCAAAACGGATTCAAGGAAAATTTAGCTTTCAGCAGATTCAAGGAAAATATATAATCTAAACAACCATAAGAATTTTCTACAAATAAATAGAAAAATACGGGTATCTTCACACAATCACTGGCACTGGCAAATCATCCTTCCACCAAGAAAATAATTCGTTGTAATTTCAAAACTTATACGAATTCCGTAATTAATGGCATAACTAATTAAGCTATGGTGGTTGATAGCTTGGTGTTGCCATATGTTGCAAGATAATTAAATTTAATTATTGTTGAAAAGAAAACAAAAAAAATAAAATGTCAGGACTAAGGATTCAAGCACATGTTAATTAAGTTTATCATTTTCCCACTCACATGTATTGTGTATCTTAAAACCATATGTGCCAATGTATATATACAGATTTTTGTCTTTTATTATTATTATTTTTTTTTTCATTTTATCGCAATATATCACATTATAGCTGTGATATGTGTCACACATGTTCACTAAATCAAATTCAATTTTACACTTAATATTAAAATAAGAAAGTAATCTATATTTTGCTAACGTAAAATGAATTGATAATATACAATAAATCGCAAAGAATGGTTATTCGCTTAGATTGCCACAAGACAAAATGTTCGTAATATGTTTTAAAAATAAGTATTTGATATAAACAATCGAGCTTATAATACATAGACGAAAAAATCCGAAAAGTCAATATATATAATATTTAAGTCATCATCAAAATTTTCCCCAACAACTGAGCGGGTTTCATTGCAAGCTTAAGACACAATATATAGGTATATAACATAATACAGATTATTAGCTTTTAAAAAAGTTTTATTTTATTAAAAGTTAACTAGATAGATTTAAAGATAAATAATAGTGACGAAAAAATCCGAAAAATCAATATATATAATCATTGTCATGATCAAAATTTTCCCCAACAACTGAGCGGGGTCATTGCAAGCTTAAGACACAATTTATAATATATAGGTATAGAACATAATACAGATTATAAGCTATTAAAAAAGTTTTATTTTATTAAAAATTAACGAGATAGATTTAAAGATAAATAACAGTGACTCACCCTGTCATTTCAAACAGAGGAGTGTGTTCATTAGGTCTTTAGTATCACAGTTTATCTTCACCAGAAACAGAAAGCATTCCGCTTTACAAATAAATATCATTCGTTAAGAAATTCGTTACAGCAGTTGAGGCTAAGACCTCCAACCCTAGAACACTACTCTTAACTGAAGACAAAGTCGAGAAGTTGAGAGTTAGCTTAAAGAATTCTTGCTATTCTACAGAAATATTATACAATCTATACAACAAAAAACAATGTATCAAAATTTAGGATGACCCAAAATCTTTGCAGTAATCTTCCAAAATTAAGTAAATTCTTCAAATGCTACAGATTTTACTGGGCTACAGATAAGTGACAATTCTCTTTATTCTCTTTATCATATTCTATTTAATATTATTATGAGTCATATATATGTCCATAGTAATTATCACTTATCCGTGGCTCAGTAAAATATTATAATATCTGAAAAATGTGCATTCCTAAAAAGACTAAGACCAAGGTTTTATAAACATCCAAAATTTTGTTGTTTTAACTGAAGATTTTTGTCAGATAGAGTATGTTTTGCCACCCTATATAACGGTTGATATTAAAAGTGAACTCATTATCTCCCATATAATTTCGCAAGATTGACAGATTGAACTGGTCTCAAATCAAAGTTCACAAAAAATGTAAACGTTTCTGTACTGGTTAGAGTACAAATAGATCACTCCCTAATACAAATCAATATCAATACATCAGCAATAAGATCTTCAGACATGTGTCGGAATTGCTGTCATGTATGGTTTAGAGACTCTCTTTGAAGAGTTGACAAATATCTCTATTGAAGAATCTCTTCTCTTATTTTTTTTCTACACTTTTTTACTGTTGCAATCTTTAGATCCGCGTGAAGATTTCTAATCCTAATGGACATTGAAATATCTGCCTTTATCGGTAAAAACTGTATAAGACACTAGATTCAAGGCATCATCTAAATTAATTAAATTGAAAGAGATTCTACAACATTTATTAGGTGGAATCTTTCAAACTGTCAAATTAACAGTGGTACAATACGAATTGATCATTTGTTTTATTGATAGAATTCCAAAATATGTGACATCTTTAACATATCTCATATACTTTCAAAGCATATTGTAGATGTTGACTTTTATTTCTTCTTTTAATCCTTGCTCTTGACAGAGCGTGATGCCGTGATATAGAAATATGATTTTAAGTTGAGAAATTTAAATAATAAGTTTACTTATAATCTTGGTTTCTTTAGCGAATGTGCACTGCAAGGCTTTAAACTGAATGTGTGAACCAGAACACCTATTTAGCTTTCAGTGACAGAATATTAATAGTTTTCTTATAATCTTCTTTTAATCTTCTAAGCTTAAAAGTGGATAAATGCACCAAAGTACTCATTTAGCTTTCTATATCAAAATATTTTAGTTTTTCAAAACTTTATGAGGAAGATGTGTAATATATAACTCTTAATTGAAGATCATCAAATCAAAAGATGAAAATATATAGCCTAACATTATCAAACCAATGTCAAACTCAATTTTTTTGCTATATATGTTTTCTAAATTCTCTATATTGATATTATTATTTCCTAAATAAATGATTTTTTCTTGTAGAAATCTTATATATAGTTTTCACTTTTATATGTACTAGGTTAGGTTATTTTCGAAAGGCGCGTGCTAACCTTGTTAAACAATTTGGTTTTTCAGATGAAGTTGAGGAGATCCGATAAGTTTGCTTTCGTTATCTCTTCCAAGGCAGTGAAAAAGCGATCCCCGGGACATTGAAGTCGCCTTGTCTGAAGTCCTGGACAGAGACAGAGAAAGTGGTTGATAGATTCTACCTCCTCTTCATCTTGGCAACTCCTGCATAATCCGCTTGTTGGATTTCGCCACCGTTGGAGCATAGATGCAATGGCACAGTGCCCCGTTATTACTCCAGTAAGCACACGAACTGCAGGTTTGCTGAAGCCTGAAAGGCTTTTCGTTTTATATGTCCTAACATCCATAATAATATTACATCCGATTTTATTGGATCTTAAACGAGTACTCCTTTGTTTCCTTGTTCTGTTTTTTATGAACAATTTTGCGTTGGTGTCATCCAATGTGCTCATTCACCATTATTATCTGCTTAAAATCTTTACAAAATACTTTTACGGATTTATTCAAAATATGCAATCCAAACTTAAGTCGAATTGTTGCCAAAGAAATGTTTTATTGCCAAAGCAGAGCGGCAGATAAACCTGAAATATCACATTTTGCGTGTGATATATTTTTAAACGTCGAGGAGTTAAAAATAAGCTCTATGAACGTTAATACGAAATTTATAAAAAGTTTCCCCAATAAAAGCAAATGTCTGCGACTTTCCACAAGGTAAAAATACATTAATGCGAAGCTAAAAATAAAGTAAAATTCCCTTTATTGATTTATCTTGTACTCGTATTAAAAACGGAAGTATGTCACAGGTTGGAAAACCTTGTTAATATTATTAAACAGGAAATTTAATAACTCTAATTAAGGTACGGAAATACGTAACCAGATATGAAAGTAGATAAACTAACAGCGCACAATATCCCAAAGAAATTGATTTACAAATACATAATTTATGGTAAATACATTAAAATTTTGCAAAGGAAATGAAACCGAAAAAAAAACACTTCATTTTTAAACATGCATTATTTTTTAATTAATTAAAATTATAAATAATTCGAAATAAAAAATTAAATGTTTAGTGAAATTTTTATTCAAACAGCTTCAAAATGCGTCGCTCATCAACCCGTAATCGCTCCAGTTCCGTAGCGGGCACAGCATTTAGTTTAAATGCCATGAATGCTGCAACCACCAATGCTGCTGCTAATCTAAATGGTAGAGTATCGAACTCATCCTCACCAAACCCAACAGAGAGCACTGATTATTATAATACCCGTCGAGAATCACTTATAAAACCCACTTGGCAACACATCACGCCTGGACAAATACCACCAAAAACTTTGGATAAAATAAATGGCATCACATCCGATGATTCTGATGATGATGACTTTCCGAAACGTCCCAGTATTGTGATGCATTACTATACCAATAACAATAACAATAGCCAATTGCATTTGGGCAACAATAGTAATAGTGGTGGGCTATTGGCACGTAAGGAGTCTATAGCTTTTAATGCGCGTTGTGCAACTGATTTGCTTGCTCATAAAGATACATCGACCGTAACAAAATTGTTCAGTGGCAGTAGTGGAAGTGGCAATGCTACTGGGACTGCTGTAGCTGGTAACAGCAGTAAAGTTAGTGATGTGGATACTACTACTGCTATTGATGATGGAAATGGTGGCGTTAATCTATGTAAAAATGCTGGACGTGCGCTTATGCGTATGATAACGAACCAGGCCACAAGTAGTGTTGATGAAGATGACTATGACGTTTTGGGGAAGGTGAAGAACTTTGTTGCAATGATTTTCAATTAAATTTATAAACTTTCGGTTTTCCAGTTGTTAAACATTATTTTAATTAATTTAAAACTGTTTTAATTTTAATTATGGAGATCAATGAAATGCTTTTGTGTGCTTGTGATGAGTATATAAATAATGAATGTCGTAATGTATATTTATTTCGAATGAATATCGAGTAAAAGTTTAAATATAATTTAAGTACACATATATGAAACATATATATGAAGTTAGTTTGATTAGTAAGTAATAAAATCAAAAAAAAGATATGTAAGAAAAGTTTTCTACTAACTTTTTATAAAAAAACATCACTTTCCAGTTTTAAACATTTATTCTAATGGTTTTCCACTGCCACTTTAAAAATTTATACAAAAACACATTGTATACCCATTCTATTGTGGTACTTATTTAATCAATAATCGCATGTACCTTTACCTCACTATTTTATAGTGCAAAATGATGAATTTTTTCAGTCCTATCCTTAGTTATTACATTATTCGAGCATTATGCGCTATAAGGACCATTTTATACAGACAGGCGTATAACTTTTCACAAAGACATGTTGTTCAAAGAGTCAAATTTCAATTGTCAATTTCCTACTTTTACTACTCTTTCGGTACGTTTTTTTTTTGACGCACTTTAAAATATATTAATTTTTGTGTGGATATGCGTACATATCCATACAAAAAATACACATATTTACTCCTAATAGCTGCCAATTCAGATTTTTATTACTAATCAACACTGTTTTGACCAACCTGACGTGACCATGACTCTCTATATAACATAGTCTTAAGACAATTTGGTGGTCATTCAAGTATAGATGTTAAATATTATTTAATTCCTTAATAAAAAATCTTCTATACATAATTGCCTTTTCCACAAAATTAAAAATTATATTCCTATTCCCATTCTATCTTCTACGTCATTTAAGCAACACCAAAAACGTATGAAGTAATCGATTAGGAGTAATGCTGACAAGTAAATACGAATAGGAGTAATGCTGACAAGTAAATATCGATTTCAATGATTTTTTCCTTGTCTTATTGAAACAACATTTCCTTTTAATAATCATTTTTTCATTATTTAGACCCAAACATATTCTAACAATTTCAAACATTTTGCTTCGTTTTATTTTTTAAGCATAATTCACTAATATTCACTTTCACAATTATTCATTTTCAATGATTATAAGCTGTCGTAAAAACTGAATTTTTTTTAATTTCTAATAAAACGAGATACTGTACAAAGCTCTGTTGAGGTTGTGGAAACGTTGACCACAAAATTTCTACCACTTTTTTAATAAACCCAAACTTACATACATTAAGACTGAAAAGTTTTCGGAAATTCTCATTTAAAATTCGCGCGCTGTATATTTTTCGATATTTTAAGTTTATGTAGTTTGGCAGCACTGTCCTTAATTACTATGCCAAAAATGAGCGCGATCTGTCAGACAGTTCGTTTACGGCAGCTGTTGAAACCAGTTCACCTCAGTAGTGCGTTGCGAAATGTCTTCGACGGTCGTACGACCGTCCTGAAAGGCTTTGTACCACTCATAAACTTGAGTTTTCGATAAAACTGATTCCCCATAAGCCTTTTGTAGCATTCGCAACGATTCTGCACACGAAATTTCGTTCGAAACACAAAATTTGATGCAAACTCTTTGTTCAATATTTTTTTCCATTGTTTTTTTCGCAACGCACTACTGAGGTGAACTGGTTTCAACAGCTGCCGTAAACGAACTGTCTGACAGATCGCGCTCATTTTTGGCATAGTAATTGTCCTTAATTGCTGCCACACTACATAAACTTAAAATATCGAAAAATATACAGCGCGCGAATTTTAAATGAGAATTTCCGAAAACTTTTCGGTCTTAATGTACAAATTGTCATCCATCTCTCTATTAAATAGCCTCGTCATAAAGAAATTTTTAGTGGGATTGTTGAAAATTTTACTAACAACCCCACTAAACAGTGATTGTGTCCGTTGCTGGTACTCTCACAATATTTCAGTCGGAATATCGCACATATTTGATTGAAATGTCGTTAGATTTATAGGTTAACCTAAGGTTAACCGAGATATTCTTAGCACATTTTTAAACAGTGGCCTGAAAATAACACAGAAAGCTCACAATTTTATTTATAACCAATAACAACCATTGTGCCTCTTGCTAGTATTTTCACAACATTTAAGAATCGAAATGTCAGTGCATTCGGTCGGTGCATTTATTGGTCAACCTTAGGTTAATCCAGATATTCTTGGCATATTTTGTAATGGTGGCTTAAAAATTCCCCAGAGATCACGCAGTTTTACTCATAAACAAACTCCCATTGTGTATCTCGCTATTATTTTCACAACGTTTAAGAATCCAATAAAATGTTGATGAATATAACGGTTAACCTGAGGTTAATTGGCATATTTTATTGGCATATTTTTAAATAGCTGCCTAACAATAGTGCAGAAAGCACACAGTTTTAACAGCCATTGTGCTTCTCGCTATTTTTGCAACATTCAAATCAAAATGTAGTAAGTCTTTAAATAATATGTCAGTGTATTTATTAGTTAACCTGTGGTTAACTGAGACATTCTGGGCATATTTTGCAATGGCAACATAAAAATTTCACAGAAATCACACAGTTTTACAAACACCCATTGTGTATTTCTCTAATATTTTCACAAGGTTTACAAATCGAATAAAATGTTAATGCATTTAATGATTAAGTACAGAGAGCACATAGTTCAAACTATATATTTATAAAATATTTTATTTACTATCAGAATAACTGGTCATTCTATTTTGCTCTCACTCTCACTAACATATTTCATGAGAATTTTATTTTCTTACCCGCTTTTCTATAGTAAAGCGGTTAGACCTATAAAAAGGTATACCGGTTTTTACTGCATTTCATAGGCAGAAGAGAAAATGTCAATTATCTGTTCTGTTACTGCTCGGCGCTTTTTTAAAGGTTGATATTTCATTTAAAGAGTACCCTCTTTATACGTCTTTCCTACTCATTGAAATAGGCGTTAAATGCAATATTTTTGACGAATTCCATTCCATTAAGAATTGCAGTCAATTTCAGATCTTAAGTATATTTTATGCTGTTTATAATGCACTATTCTACAAATTTTTTTTCTTTATTATAGCACTTTTTAGAAGATGTGCATTTAATTTAAGAATCACTGGAATATGTATAGCTCTTAACAACATTAAAAATTTCATTATGGGAAGTGAACAGTGGTTCAGTAAACTCGCACACGTATTACTTAATATCTATCTATTCATAGTTGAGATTGCACTATTCATATCCAATAAAGAATGTTTAAAAAAAAATTTCACTTTATATAAGAATTGCATTAAATTTCTCATTTAAATTTATTTTATGCAGTTCATAATGCACTATTCTATTAAATTTTTTTTTTCCTTTATTGTAACTACCAACATCACATCTTGCTAACTACGCCCATGGAAATTACATAGCTTATTCCTTTATTAAATATTTCTGAAAAATATTTTGTAATTGTAAACTACATAAATGTATCTCAATTTACTTCTGTGGAAATATAGCTTCAAGCTATAAATTAAATAGTAAAACAAATTCCATTCCATGCAAACATTTAGTCGTAAATCATAACATACCGTACAAATTCTCTGTAAATTAATAATATTAGAGAATATAATTTGTATTTAATTTTAAAAGGATTAAATTTAAGCATAACAAGCAAATAATAATTTAAGTAAAAATAATAAACTTTTGCTTCAGGAGCAATAATTGGAATCAATTTTTGTCACTCATACGCCCACACCACTACCAATCAGCCAACCAATTGTCAAATCAACGCTCTAAGTGTGAACGTGTTAACTTCATGTTAAAAAGTTAACGATTTTTGTGTAATGTAATTATAATATCGCATTTCCTACACCGAAACTTACATTTAGACAACCTCAAAAGCTGAAACCTTTACCACACATAATGCCTAAAATTCTGTTTTCAGTAAAATTCAGTAAAATTATTCAAGTGAAAAATGTCAGCTATGTTTACTGACACGAAGGTTAGACACAACAGCTTAACACCATAATTCCGGGAAGTACTAGGCGTAGTATTAGCGTGCCTTCGGCGTAGTTGAACGTGCCAATCAAAACAAAACAATTACCAAACCACAGGAATATGAAAGCGTATACCAACAATGCTCGAAGTATCTCAAATTCTTAAAACTTTTAAATCAAAACTTCAGCAGCTGCCGCTACTTTGAATAGTAATGCTGCTTTGTTCTGTGATTGTCAGTTTGTTGTCCTTTGATAAGGATGAATTCCTGCTAATAAGACAGCAACTGTTTGGCATGTTCTTGACTTGAGATACACTTTGTGCTCTGAAACATTTTTCTATTAAGCGTTGTTTGCTCTCTGACTTGGGCGCAAACTTCTTAACTTATTTTACTTTTCTACTTGTTGCGCTAATAAAACCTTTTATTCAAATGCCAATAAAAAATAAACAGAAAAGAATTTCTATAGATCAGAAAGGAAAATTTCAAAAATATTTTAGAAAAGTTAAATTGGTTTTTTATATTTCAATATTAAATTTTTTGTATCGTAAAGTTTTTCGATATTTTTTCCTTTATATCTTACAAGGATATTTCTTTGTTAGCCATAAAGTTACAAAAAATACGTTGCTTTAAGGTATATAATGTGTCTAGACATATCATAAATGTTCTTGTAATTCGTTTGAAGTAATTTTTCTTCGAAAAAATTAAAAAACAATTATCTTCAAAATGAGCAATTAAAGGGAAATAATAATAATTTTTGTCCTTTTAAGTATTTTATTCTGAAGCACAAAAAAGCATAAAGTGGTATAACCGTTCCTTTAAAAGGAACTTCAAATACTCATTTTAAATATTATTATTATTTATTATTGACTAGTGGGGATTATAATTATTGGCATAGTCTTAAATAAATAAAATTTACATTACAATCTTAAAAAGTTTGCAAACTCAAAAAAGTTTTCCGATCTTCTTGCTCTGGGACGTATCTTATAATTTGATGAAGAATTGGGAAATCACTTTTTATTAGCTATATATATATATATATATGAGGAAGAACATAATTATTTATCACATATTATCACATAATATAAGATAGGTGAAGAAGAAAAAAGTTATCCAAGTATTTATCATTTAAATATTCTACAGTCAAACTAACATAACTCGAACTAAAAAGAGTGCCACAGGGTTTAGAGAGCAAATTACATAAAATTCTGCTTCCATAACTCAAACTTCTATAACTCGAATAAAAATATTGTCTTTAATATATTCTTCTTCTTCTTCATTCTTCTTAATTCTTTAAGTCGAATTTTTGTTTTAAGTAAGAATCCATTTTGGTCTTAGGGGAAGTCTCTTATGTTGCTTCATTGTGCAAAAGCCAGCCGCTGACACAGTGGTTTAAAGTGAATAAAATAATTTCTAATGCTACTTATACGATAAAATTGAGCTTGACAAATAAATTTGTGCATCAAGGTTTCCTACAGATGCCGATATTATACAGCATTATAGCTCGATTCTAAGTGCGACGGAAAATAATGATCAGAGTTCAGTGGATGCAATTGCTCATCAGCCTTCCAAGAATGAAGTAGAAGACTCATTCAAAATTCTGAAATTTTATTTGCACAAAAAAGATGCTACAACTGTTTATCACTATTTGGCTTGGAATAAAAACTAAAATCCCACGCCCTAATTTCTGAGTATATTACTCCACTATGAATTTTGTGCTGAATTTGATTTCAAATAAATAAAGATAAACATCTTAAAATGTAATTCCAGCTTCTTTCAAAAATAAAAAAAAAATAAAACAATTCTCTAACTCGAAATCTCCATAAGTCGAACCTTTTCTTTGCAAAATATGTTAGTACTTCGAGTTATGGAAGTTTGACTGTATTTGTTTATCACTTGTATTCCCGTAATACGAAAGCGGTTCTGTGGAGGGAATAAGTAACTTCGGAGAGATAATATTTTAGTCAGTATTTACAAACTAATATGCTAGGGAGTCGGATACTTCATTAAATTAGCTCATTAAATGGTTATACTGCCGAATTCCGCTTCTTATATCGAATATTGCTAAAAAAGTTCTCAAGGATATCTTGATTCCATATACCATATAAATTAGTTGGTTGGTTGGTTTTAGTCGCAGTAGAGTCAAATCTTCTGTTCAAGTAGTAGGTAAATGTAAAATCTCAAATATCAAGAGGGATAATTGGGTTTGATATACATTTTGTGCTTCAATTACTTCAATGGCGCATGCCACACTTAAGTAATTTTGGAGGATTAATTTTGTTGCATAAGGTTTTAATGCTTGCTACACTTGATGAATTCTGCAGATTGAAAATTCTTATAAATGAACTATACTTGGTTTTCCGGTCATTATTCCTTTCTGGTATTGAAAATAAAATGCATAATTGGGTTTGATATGCATTTTGTGCTTCAGTTACTTCAATGGCCCATGCCACACTTGAGTAATTTTGGAGAATTAATTTTGTTACATAAATTTTTAATGCTTGCTACACTTGATGAATTCTGCAGATTGAAAATTATTATATATGAAGTATGCTTGATTTTGCGATCACTATTCCTTTCTGGTATTGAGAATAAAATGTTCATGTAAATGCAAAATTTCAAATATCAAGTGGGATAATTGGGTTCATTACCTTTTTAACAGCATCAGAGCTTAAGTAATACTTCAATTCACTGAATGCAATAGATTGTATGAAAACTGTTATAAAAACTACTATTAATCCTTAAGTTTAGTGAAGTGTGACGTAGGCTTCTAAGCAGAAAAATTCTATAAATCACTAACACAAACTAACATAACATAACCGACTGTATTGAACATTCTCACCTATTACTTGGTTCTTGTGCCAAGGAGCCAGTGTGTGCAGAAGTAAAATGTTTACCAACACTTGCAATTTCAACATTTAATACGAAGACAATAACAGCAGAAAAAAATTGAGAACAATTGTTGTTTGTGTAGCGAACAACGGTTGAAAGCAATTGTTGTTTGTGTAGCAATCAAATACTTATTGGAAAATATATGTAAACGAATGTGTGCGTATGAAAGTGTGTTTGTGTGAAGGAAACATATTTTATATTGCTTTTATAGAGTTTAAAAAGTATTCATGCCAAGCATAACAGCTTATGCTTCCTGGCTTAGTACTGAAATGAATGAGTTTTTATCTTTTCATATGTTTGCTATAAGAATTTTTTTAATACAAGATTTCTAGGAAAAGATGTGTTTTTATTTTTTTACTTTTGAAATTTAAAATTTTTTTTTTTCAATATTTTAAAAATTTAAAGAAGAAAATATAAGACAAATATGAATATAAAACCTTTTGTTGTTTATTGTTGTTATAATAGTTTTTTATTGTACTCATTTTTCCTTATTTTTTGTTTTTGTATTTTTAAGCTTTTTTAAAATTGCCATTGTATGCTGTTTAAGTCCTTCTTTCTTTGTAAACAATGTTCTGTTGTACATATAAATAATAAGAAAAATACAATAAAATACACAAAAAAGAAAACACTTTAAAACGAACACAAATACACACATACACTAATTTGGCTTTTTTGTTAAGTCCTCCCATTCCAATCAACTGCTTAAATGGAATTTTATTTACTATGTCTTGTTTTTTCTTTTCTTTTTTTATTTCTTCCTCTACATTCTCTACTTCAATTATTAACAGGTGATTATGCTTGGTGACTCTGGAGTTGGAAAGACTTGCCTGTTGATCAGATTTCGCGACGGCAAATACATGCCAAACTATTATATTACAACAGTTGGCATTGACTTTAGGGTAAGACTACCACATACACATTGTTATTTATATAGTAGATATGTATGTCTTGTTGTGTCATCTCCTTTAGCTATTTGAGTGTGTTTATTTATGTTATTGCTGTCTGTCAACTCTTACCAGCTGTTAACATTACTGAGTGCCTTTACTGTTAGCAGCTAATAATGTCTACAACTTTTATTGATGTGTATTTTTATTGCTGTTAAATTTTCTTTCTTATTTGTAATTGTGTTTTAATCTAAAATTTTCTTTTCGCTAAATGTTTTATGAAATCCTTAAAAATATAAAGTAAAACATAATTTTATTATGTATAATTGCTTATTTAAACTTTAAGTATCAAAAGCTTTATGGATTAGTAGCAGTTTCTACTCCTTTTTAAAAAAATGTTCGCTGCGTTTCTTTATAACTGCTTTCAGTTCATTTAATGCACACAAAGTAAAAGATTAGTAAAGGTAAAAATTATATTAGAAAGAAATAAAAATAAGTATGAATGTAATCTTAATTGGGTTTAAATCTATGTCAAAGCATTATATATAATTTAAAGGCTGATTATATATATTATATATAAAAAGAGTTTAGTAAAGGATAACTAAAAATCCTTAATGCATTAATGCTTAAAAAAATTCTCAAAGTATATCGTTTATTAATGCATTTTAAAAATTTTAGCAGAATTAAAAACTACAAAATTAAATTTAATTTATACAAGACTCGGTATATATACAAATGCAAACTGTAGATACTGTGAAGAGAATTAGGAGTCGGCCACACATGTTAGAATGCACTGCGCTAATGCTTATACGAAATAAGCTCCTGGGAATGTATATTCTTATGGAAGTGGCAACAAAACTCTGTAAAGTAGGTTCTATAATAAGGGGACACAATAGACCCGACGGTCGCAATGCCACATCCCATAACAATAATAATAAGCTTAAATTATAAATTTTATATTATTTATTTATTTTTTTTATTTATATAATTTTATTAATTTGCTATTTAAAGCCAGAATTCTTATGATAAGATTTTGAAAAAAATTTCCTGGCCCAGTATTTTTATCTGGATACAGATCAAAGTCAACCAGTCTATTAGAAGGTTCTTGCTATATTCATGCATTTGCTCTAAACTCATTGAAAAGTTTTGATATGAAACTAAGATAGAAATTTTTGGATCAGTATTCTCTTCTGAACATAGATTAATTGGGGTCAGTTAATTAGTAAAATAAAAGTGTAGACTTCTTTTAGGCAGTGGCGATAAATTATGACCTCCTCCTAGACTCAGTTAAGATGCACTATTAGATCATTAATCAATAAGTTGACTAAACTTTAACATTTTTTTTTACATAATTATCTTTCAATTAGATTTAAGTTTATCAAAGAATAAATTTTTGAGTTCTGTCAAATTATTGTTAATTTTTAGACTCTAAAATAATAAAAATCCGGAGCGTGAATCAATATTAAACTAAAGCCGTTATGAACTGGAATCTCGACTCTCAACCAAAGTAATGTTCAGATACTATATAAAATGATTTTATAAACGATGAGTAATTGTGAAGTACTGTTGTACTTCTTTTCTTTAGATACCTACATTACCTATGGTATTTTATTGTGTCATATGTGCTGAAATAAATACTAATTACAATGAGATAACGCAATATCTATTGCGACGTATGCGTCTAAATAAGCACTAATTACAATAAGACAATGAAATATCTGTTGTGGAGTTTACGCCTAAATAAATACTAATTGAAATAGTCTATTGCGGAGTTTACGCCTAAATTACGCACTAATTACACTGAGACAATGAAATATCTGTTGCGGTGTATGCGCCTAAATAAACACTAATTGCAATAAAATAATGCAATATCTGTCGCAAAGTTGTGCCTAAATAAATACTAATTGCAATAAGTTGATACAATGTCTGTTGCGAAGTTTGCACCTAAATACATAGCATAAGATAATTAAGGCTATTTCTCAGCCTTCAGATGTATGTTCATACTTGAACAGACACTCAACCAAACTACTTCAGAGAGTTTTCAGAACCCAAAACACATATTAGTTTATTATTTGAACATATCTTAAATTCTTGTAATAAAAACTTTAAAAGTACTGTGTTTTTTTTTTCACCTCCATTGATTTCAATTATTTTTCATACATATATGAATAACGTAACAAATGACTAAGTAAATGACCATAAGTAGTAAAACCTTTTAAAATGTTTATTGTAAGTTCAATTAAAAAAGGATATACTTTTCCATATAAGTATATTTTATAAATATCTGTATTATTCTTTTTCAATAATAATGCTGACTACAAAAAGTTTAATTTTTTTTTACATTGTACTATTTAAACCATTTATAAAAGCAAATAATTACCTTATTACTATATATTACTTAGGATATAAATTTTTTATATTGAATTTACAATAGATTTTGAAATCAATGAATCTTACAACATTCAACATAAATACAACCACATCATAATGAATAAAATTTATTTCTTTTGAAAGGAATCCTGTGCTTTTACTTGACAAATAATATTGTGAAGTTACCATGACAATGGTGCCATTATAAAATATATCGTTGTCTTCAATAATAAAAAAAAATAAAATATTTATACGTTTTCCTTCACGAAAAATTATTTTCATATTTGCAAGCACACAAATAAAAATTTGTTACTCATACGCACCGTTTGACCGATAATTTTTGCAAATAATATAAAATTCATTAATGCTGACAGAAATTTCATTTTTTTTTTTTTATTTTGGTAAATATGCTATAAATAATTAATAAATTTGATAAACAGATTTCGCAATAACATGCAATAATCTTTTATTTATTTACCTTGTTTTTGTAGCTTTGTAGCTTAACGTAAGTTGAGGAAAATCAATCAATATTTTTGAAATAAAAACATAAAAAAATTAAAAATTTAAAATTTTGTTCAAAATTGCTTTGCAAATTTATACAAAATCAAAAATTTATGGAAAATATATAAAATTAAAAGATTTAAATTTTTAATCAAAATTGTTTTGCAAATTTATACATAAACCAAAAATATATATAAAGTATATATGTAGGTATATAAATTGCAGAAATCGTCAAGTTATAACAATCAATTATATGTTTTACGTTTACACATTTTTTGAGTAGAATACAACTTTAAATAATTAAAAATATTAACATTTTAATATCACGAAAACATTAATTAGTATAGGAATAGGAATAAACTAGCTCCCGGAGCTAGCGGAGCACTGCGACCATGATTGATCTTTTGTGCTGCAACAGACACTAACCGAACAGGAAATATTCCGCCTTTCGAATGAAAGCCAGAATGTCGGCCGTTGAGGGCCTCATAATGTCAGAAGAGCAGATAGTTTTAGATCCAGAGGCCTCCTCCTAGCCCAAATCAAGGCTGGGCAGTCACAGAGAATGTGGCTGAAAGTCTCGTCTGCTTTTAAACAGAGTCGATAATCTATCTTTTTGGACTGATAACGCAGTCGATGGTGACCTGTTAAATATCCCACCAGCAGCCTCAACTCTATTCTGCTGAATAAGGATACCATACTATAACTGTAGGGACAAACCAGCTCTTTAATTAGACAGTTACCTGAAGTGTCGCGACTTTAATTAGTCTTTCTTCTTCTTATTTGGCACTACAGTCCAGTGTGAATCTTGGCCTCCCTCACGATCTGCCTTTTTCTATCCCGATCTTCTGCTAATCTCTTCCAGTTCAGTTCTTGGCCTACCTCTGTGCCTGATTGTTATCGACTTTGCGTTCTATATGCTGCTCGGCTTTCTCTTCAATCCAATTCTTAATAAATGAGCAACCTATTGTAGCCTTTGCGAGTAAATGTATCTCACTATATTTTCGTTTCTTACTAGTTCTTCAATTTTATTATTTGTTCGTCTTTGAGTATTATATTAATTAGTTATTATATTCATTATATTTATGTATATATATAAGTCCTATTGAAGTCTTATTTTCGCTATTTCACTTAATTTAAACTTAAATTGAATCCTTTTCAGTAATCGGTGGGTATCCATAAAGTAGCTTTCTTTAATCTTTTAAAATTTTCTGCTTTTATTAAATACTTTTTTTTTTGTTAATATATTTTAACATCTTTTACCTTTTCGAGCCTTATGCAATTATCTTCTTTATTGAGCAGTCAAGTACACTTGCGTTTTTAATCACCCTTTTTATCATTTACTGCCATTAACATGACGAACAATTGATATGAAATTCGAGAAGCTATAATCTGTAATTTCGTCGAGATATCTTTAATTAAATTATTTCCCATTAAAAGTGAAAAGGAAAATTTATTTGTGTTCATTGTCATAAATTCTTAAGAATTTACATAAGCATGTGTATTATATTTATCTTAATTTTATTGTTTACACTGTGAATTAACTTAAAATTTATGTTCATTGATGAGAAAATACTCTAAATTTAATTAAAATACGAGTATAAAGAAATTATTCTATATAAATATTCTTTACAAAAGTTTATCTTCCAAATAATCTGTATAAGATGAATTTGATGAATTTGATGAATTTATTCATGTGAAAAATTCTTTCGAAAGGTGTGGAAAATTTGTTTTATTGAAAATTGCTCTTCCAAAATAAATTGTAAATTAAGATAGCTAAAAAAAATCTGATGTATGCAATTTATTGATAAAATATTATTAAAATTAAGTTAACGCCTACAATAGGTTTATGCATGCGAAAGCATTTTTCGAAAGCATTTTTACACTGCAAAAAAAAATTGTCCTTTATGAAAAGGCGTGCATGCATAATGAAAATATCTTTTTTTATTTTATTTTATATAGTGCAAAATTTTAAATAATAAAAATAAATATTCCACTCAATTGAAAAATAAATTCAATGTCAAGTTCAGTTATATAATATGTTTTATTATTTTATATAATATTTTACAAAATATATATATTTATATTCTATTGCATACTTTATTAAGTGGAAACAAAAATTTCAATCAAGCAATGTTGCACATATAAATATTAATAAAAAAAAGACTTAATATTTAATATATATATATGTATATATATATACTGCTATATATATACTGTGAACTATAAAAAAAATAAATAAAATATATACTTTATATTTGTTAAAGCAAAAAAAATTCAAAAAATTCGTTAGTCGCTACAGGTATTGCAATATTACAAATGTTATTTTATATATAAAAATATTTTTATTTCTTGATTTTCTATGTTATAATATTACTAGGATTTCAGATAATATGACACTTGAAACGTGTTTTATGAACAAATTCTTTTAATGAATAAAATGACCCATCAGGAAATTTGAGAATAATTTTATAAAAAATGTGTGGTATATCTAACGGCAGTATATATATGTATATATTGTATTATTTCTCAGTAAATTGAAACGTTAAAAATATATTCAGTTTATGAAATGAAATTAAAAAATATATTAAATAAAAAAATAATAATATATAATTGTGTTTTTAATAGAATAAAGTGGTAGTTGTGGATAATACACGAGTGAAGTTACAAATATGGGATACAGCCGGACAGGAACGTTTTCGTAGTGTCACCCATGCATACTACAGAGATGCACATGGTAAGCTTAAATTTATAAATAGTTTATTATATATAATATATTTTAAAAACTGAGAATATACAAAACTATTTGTGGTAGTACTTTAAATACCAATAATTACTGTGTAAACCTTATCAGATAATGTTATTATATCAGATAATATTATGCCAAATATTTTTACACTCTGTAAACTTAAACTATCAATTATTTTTTATTTTTTTCATATTTCTTTCATTAAGTTGACAATCTTAATATATCTTAAGAGATCACTAATAAATACAATTACCGAGAAACTAAAAAATAGTGATGTAATCACGGTTGCCACTTATGGTACTTTAGTACCAAAATTGGTACTTTTTTTTCGTTTGGTACTCATGTTCAAAAAATGGTACATTTTTGACGACCCAACTTCATTGTGAATATTTCCAATTAATTTTTTTTATAAATGCAACTTTGCACTATTTTATATTTTGTTCATTTATAACACTATGAAAAACACAGAACGAAAAAATAAAAAGGTCCAATAAAATTTTGGACCTTTTTTTAGAGAAATGGTACCTTTTTAAACCAATTTTGGTACAGGAAAAAATTTTCAAGTGGCAACCGTGGATGTAATCTACTCAAGTCTTATTAAGCGACATAAAAACTGGTACTGCAGTCTGGTACTGGAAAGCAAAACATATATTGTTAAAATAATCGAATATTGGAATTAACAGAACAAATACTCTTACTATGAAAGTAGAGACGTATTATCCCAAAATTGTTTTGTAGTTTTCATAATAACTTAAATCAAGTTGTTCACCGCTGAGTCCAAGTAATTCTTAAAGACAACTTGAGAATTATATTTTTTTAACTGTACGTTATAAGCTAAGCTAATGCTTAAATAAACTCAAAATCTTGTCTATTGCGTTCTATATAGAGTGGGACATTGGAACAGTGATCTCACTGAAGTGAAGGATAAGCCGAAGTAGACCATGAAACAACTTAGGTTCTTTTTCGTCCTTCGATTTTCGGGATATGGTTATTAAGTTAAAGCCAACATGGCTTCTGTTCATTTAACTACATCCCTTGTTAGTGCAAGCAGCTCATTTAGCTTGAGGTTAGCTGACAAGTTATCACCAACACAATGGTGTCCCCCGACACTCATTATCCTGCTTGCCAGTGCTGGGCATTGGCACAATATGTACACTATGGTTTGTTTTTCTTCTAGATATAATCTGCAAGTGTCTTTCTCAACAACAGCTATATTTTTGAGGTGATATTTAAAGTTTTCGTATCCAGTATATAATGAGATCAGCCTACTTAGGGTGCTCCGCGGATAGCTACGCATTTTAATGGCTTCACAGATCATCAATTTTGGCATCATAAGTTTAACTGTCTACAAGTGCTCATCTCTTTTCACCTGCTAAGATAAAATGAGGCTTTCCACTTACCAACATAAGCCGCAGTTATATTGTAGTCTAATAGTATTATGGGCTCTGGGCCCGCAGAAGCTATAGTTTGATACTTGCTTTGCAAATTCATCTGTCTTTTCATTTTGCTCAATACCAATGTTTCATTTCCATGAGCTTCGTGAGACATAATTGTACTAAGCTGTTGGATACTGTTGCTTGATTGTTCACCGCTATCAGAATCTTTTTCTGATATATCTGATAACCCAATAGTTAAAGAGAGCGCACGCTACCTTTAGTTATTTCGAGTAAAGTCTAGCTCCAGCAAATGTCATTCTTTTTACATTCATCATGTGGAAGGTTGTCTACTATGAGTGTACAATAGGACACTTCTGTTCCATTATTGCGATCTCTAAATTTTACAAATAGGAAGAGCAGTCCGCAAATCATGTGCTGGAAAAGTGCCCTGACTCATGAACAAATCAAACACTAATTTGCATTTATGTATATCATCCGATAACAATAAACAAATAGACAAACAATTTACTGATGATTTTAGGGATGATTGTTTAATAAATAATTGGTAATATGTGTTCCCAGTTTTTTTTCATTAGATAGTTGAGACAAAAGTAATGTATTATCAGAGTGTGTATTCTTTAAATGACCGAAAGAATTTTGAGGATAATTTTGAAAAATAAAATATTTGTCTGATAAAGACTCCTTCATTTATAGCAAACACATTTTACAACAATATAAGAGAAACCAATAAACTTTATATTAAAGTAAAAACTATTTAAAACTTGTTATATTCAAACTTATTAATTTTAAAGCAATTATACTAAAAGAGAATTATAATTTTAAATTTATGTATTTATTTATGTATTCAAAATAATAATAAAATTTTAATTCTTCAACAGTTTAAATGATTTGGCTTATAAAAATCAAATGATTGACTCGAATGATTGTTTACTTTGATATAAAATTGTTGGGCTTACTGAAATTCACTTAGAGAAGTTTTTCACCGATTAAGTACTAAAGTTCCATGCCGTTGAAGTTATGAATCGACCCAAAAAATGGCAAGCATTCATAAATATTAATGGCCAATATATTCTTAATTGAAATTGATTTTCAATAAAGTAAATTTGTACTGGTGTAGGAAATTATTTTTCATCATTAATGCAATAAAGTTATAAACAATTATAAGACCTATTATATTATACGTTACTTCAAGATGTTACTTTTAATAATTATCAATTAACTTAGAATAGAATAGAAATAAATGGGGTACAAGCTCCCAATGGAGCAGAGCACTGCGACCAGATTGATCTTTTATGCTACAACTGACCCTAACCGAACAGAAGACATTCCGCTTTTCGAATGAAAGCCAGAATGTCGTCCGTTGAGGAAATCCTAATGTCAGAGGGAGAGAGCAGCCCTCCTCCCAGTGACCTCCTCCTTGCCCAGATCAAGGCTGGGCAGTCACAGAGAATGTGACTGGTAGTCTTATCTGCTTTTAAGCAGAGTTGACAATCCGTCTTCTCGGACAGACCCATCTTATTAAAGTTATAATGCAGTCCATGGTGACCCGTTAAATATCAATTAACTTAGTCTCTAGATAAATATCAACGAAAGATCATAGAAAGATTTTTATGTATATGTTGTATTCCATTTTATAAATCCTACATATGTACTAATAGAGTTTACCTAAAGTGAGTGTTTTAATCTATACCTAAAGCAAACTACTTTAATGATGGCAATGGGAACATGTTATTAAATTTGTATAGAGTTCATGTGAAATGAGTTCATGAGTAATTTTTATGTAATGAATATTAGTCTTCGTTTTTATCTGCGTTCTACAATAAATAATTCTATCTCCATCCATATGTCATAAGGCCCAATCTTTTGAAAGAATGTTAGAAAAGAACAACACAAAATAAGCACTTCTACTGATGGCAACTCTGGAAAAATTGGAAATTTTTGTTTTGATACTTGACGGGTTTTTATATCCAAATACACATATTTGCAAAATACATAAATTTAAAGTTAAAGTTTCGAAAATGAATAATAATAATTTTAACACAAAAATTCTTAACAGAATAGTTAACAAAAACGAAGCTTCAAACACTACTATTCACCAGCTAGAAATTGCACAAAGCCAGGCTCTGAGAAGACTTTTCAAAGTTCCATGGTACATTAGGACGAATGACGTCCTCAGGGACATCAAGATTGATCCCATCAAAAAATACATAATAAATAGAGCCCTGAAATTATTTGCGAAAACTGGCAGACTTACCAACACCGCGTTATTAAATCTCAGAACGGTTCCAGGCTCTTTGGGGAGGTATGCAGATCTGAGGTCAATTATTGCTTAGTCTGATGAAGTGATAAACAATAATCTAGTCAAGATGTAAAGAGGGGTTTTGAAAATACCTCGAGTTAAAAAAGAGTATAAGTGCTTAAGTCCACTAGCTCAAAACAGCTTCAACATAATAAAAACGAAATACGAATAATTAACAAAAACATATGTTGACAGTTAACTGGAAATTTTGTACGTACATACATCCAAAAATCATTCACAATAGACAAATTTTTACTTTGGGCAATCATACGATTTAAGCTGCTTATTAGTTAAGCGGTTTGAAGGAAATTGGACTAAATAAGCGAGCAGTGTTGTTGTTTCATACGTTATTTTTCAAATAAGCGGTTGTTTTTTTTGCGATATGCTTACAAAAGTATAAGCCTACAGTTAATTTAATGTTTTTTTTTTATTAAACCTTTCCATGTTATAAATCCTGTATTTGTTTATGTTTGTTATTAATAAAGAAGTAACAACGTATTGCTTGTTCACAGTTTTATTTATTAAAATGCAAGTTAGTAAGTAAGTAAGTAATATAAATTATAAATTTAGTTGCATATCTTAAAAGTGATATATGACAATGTAATAAGAGGGTTGCCATATTCGACAGTTTAAATAGATTTCAGTTGAAATACGTAATTTGTATATAATTTGTAGTTGTATAATTGTATTTCATTTCATTTCTACAGTATTGAAGTAAATTTGATATCTACAAATGAACTTAATATTTTCATTTATAAAGAAAAGTAATTTTAAATAAAATCTTACATTAAAAAAATTAATGAAATTATATACTTTACTTGTCCTTTAATTATAGCTCTGCTGCTTCTCTATGATGTTACGAATAAGACAACCTATGACAACATACGAGCCTGGTTGGGTGAAATTCGAGAATATGCTCAAGATGACGTCGTCATTGTGCTAATTGGTTTGTAGACATGAAAACCAACTTAAATAGATAAAAACGAACTTTTCAAATAAAACTTTTGTAATTAGTGCAGAATTTTGCATTTGCCACTTAATTACGTATTAATTATCGAAATGAAATACAATTTAAATTGCCTTTTGCTGACACTTCACTCTGATTAAGTAACCGTAGTGTGTGATTTCCATCAATCTAAAGTGATGAAGTTTGAAAATTTTACTTAAATAATTTTTAAATTCAAATTAAAGTTCAGTACTATTTCCGCAGTACTGAAATAGTACATAAATTTATTTATTTATTTGCTTATGTGTCAAGAGTTCGCAGGTCGGTTTCTAGTGATACCGCGCGCCGCAATTTGTAATTACTTTAGTTTAATTAAAACTAAATGAAAAACTTTTTCTAGGCAACAAAGCGGATTGCAGCAACAGTGAACGGCAGGTGAAGCGTGAAGATGGTGAAAGATTGGCCCGGGAGCATAATGTACCCTTTATGGAGACGTCAGCAAAAACGGGTCTAAATGTGGAATTGGCATTTGCGGCGGTTGCCAGGTAACTTTCAATTTCCTTTCAAAACTTAATTTACTATGGTTTTTTTTTGTGCTGCTTCGAAGCACAATTTTCACTTTGTTTGACATTTTATGTCTTGAAAAAATTTTATTGAAAAAAAAAAAAATTTTTATATAATATTGTTAAAAAAAAAATTGATAATAATGAACTTTTCAGGCAACTTAAAAGCCGTGGCAATGACAATGGCGATGATGGAAAATTCAATGTGCATGATTTTGTACGAGACAATACCAGAGCTCGTACCATTTGCGCTCAGTGCAAGTCAATGTAATTTACTTATTTTTTTAATTTTTTTTTTTTGTAACATCCTTACTCTTAAGTTTATTAAATTATGTTTATTTCAACAAATTTTTTCCTTAACTACAAGCAGAAGGAAAACTTATTTTAAACTGAACAGCTCCAGTTTAAAAATTGTGAATTAGGCAAAGATTTCACGAGGTACTTTTCCTGCATTTCCCGCTTTCCACAAGGCGAAAGGCTTAAAGTGATGGGAAAAGTATCTTGAGACGAAAGTTTGTTAAGAAAAATAAAGACATATTTTAAAATAAATTATCATAGCACATAGTCGTTAAAAGTTCTGCGCAGAAGTTTAAGATAATTTGCATACTTTTCAAGTAAACAAAAGTATTGAAAGGATTTTTTGTTAGTTGTCTGCAGTTAATGTGAAATAATGCTAAAGTACAAGTATCTCTTAACGACCATTGCTATACCGTAATTTTTGCAACTGTAAGTCCACTTACTTTATAGAGGCAATAACTACGCAAAAACAAAAACTTAAAAAAAAATTAAAATAAAACAATAAATACAACTGAAATCAATATTAAGAATAATGGACAATTTTAAAATTTTGTATGTTAAATAAATACAACTTAAAACACTATTAAGGATAATAAATAATTTAAAAATATTGTGTATTAAATTTCTACTTCAACTCTACATTTAAATATTTTCAATACCAAAAACTAATAAAACTGACACTGAATGCATTAATCTTATATATTAGAGAATCTAATAATCTTATACATAGAGTAGTTTTTCAAGGATTTCAACTGCTTCTACAATACTTTTAGTATAATTGATTTTTTTATCTCTGAAATATTTTTCAAAAACCGACAAATGATTAATATTAGATGTTTTCAGCAAATGTGAGTTAGTTATTCCAATAAGTGATATATACGAGAGGTGGTTTTTGGAGTATCAACTACCAAAAATATTTCAGGTCATTTTATACTTGATAAAATTGATTTTTGTAGCGTTGAAATAGTTTTCAAAAACCAACAGATCCAACTACTCTCAACTGAAATCAGTATCTATACACGTTTCTGATTACAATTCTAAAAAATCTTCTTTAACTATCTTAACCAACTGTTCCGATGCCAGGCCACAATAAGGAGCAGTAGTAGAATTCTTGGGCAGCGCTTTTCCAAAGGTTCCGAAGAACTAACAGAAACTAGTATCAGAAGTCTCACAAAATTACTGAAACGGGAATATATATATATATATATATATATATATATATATGTCAAAGAAATATATATATTTGCATTAAGAATTTCTAGAAGGAGATATATAAGGTATCGCAATGCAGCAATCTACTCGTAGCTGTACATGCTGAATGACTCTTCAAGCTAACGTAGCTTATCTAATAATTTTTATGATGTGATTTCTGACTAATCCTTAAAATCTATGGAATTAATATTCTTCAGTCTACCTTCAATCTATTACCTTCAATCTATTAATATTCAATCTACCAACAATATCTATTTAAAATTTTTTACCAACACATAGCTATATTATTCTGAATGCTTTCTAGACCACAATTTTCAAAAATCTTTCATATCTTCATATCATATTATTTCCCAATAGAGAATTAAAATAATTATATCATATTAAATGTAGTGTACATTTGCTTTAACCGCGTTATACGACGGTTTAGAATCAATCACCATCAATTATAATATTAGCTACTTTATATCTTATTCACATGTTGTGAGTGTATCTTTGTGAGTCTAAAAGTGTGTTTCAGACTCTGATTTGTTTTTTCTTCTTTCTGCTTTTCCATAACTAGAAGCACTCTTTTATACCACATTGTTCTTATGAAACTATAAAGATCAACCAACAAAAAAGTCGTGTGAATGCCAATCAGAACTAGCTTTCGAGTCTGCAATTAAGTTGTGTTGTGTGAAACGAGTTAATATTGATAGTTAATGAACAGATTTGAAGAATAGGAAATTTGATAGAATAAAATATATAAATTTAAATTTATATAAATTTGATAGAAAATAAAATCCTTTACAAGAATTACGTGATTTGATCACTTAAATAATTCAAAAACGGTTTTAATTAAAAATTTTATATAGTATAACAAGAAATATAATTCGAGCAAAAAAAATTATGTTAATAATGAAATAATTCTTAAATCGAAAAAGAAACGCCTTCAATCAAATATATTCTTAGACTAACTTCACATCTGGTTCTAACCTATATTTGCAAGCACTTTTCATCTTTAATTTTATTAATATAATATCTTACGAAAACTCCAAAAATTTCGGAGATGACTTCTTAATGGGAAAAACGAAAAAAAATTGTAAGGAAAAGAAAGGTTATCAACCTGCGAAGTAAAAACTATCTCCTGTTTTAAAAAAAAGAAAAACAATGCCCAAATTTGCAAAATTATGTGAGTATCTTTGTATATATGGGGATCTTTGTAATATATCTTCTCCTCCTGCTTTGGTAATAATTTTATTTAACGCGTATTTTTAAAATGAATTTCAATTGCATACTTTTGAGTAAAAAAAAAATGCAACTTTATTTCAAATTACAATTGCATATTTTTAGGTTTAAAAAAAATCCAACCATGCAATAAGATATGTGTATTGCTATTCAATTTTTATATAAATATGCTTTCAATAATTAATTGTAACGAAAGGAGGAGGAGGACGAAATTTTTTTTATAATACAGAACTTTTAATTAAATATACAATAAATATTAGAACCGTATAAAAAAATGAGTAATTTGATCATATTAAAATATAAAAATTTTGACCGCTTCGAATATTATTAATTAAAAACTTTTTAGAAACAATGAATATATTTCAATACTGGCTTGACTAATTACTTTATTTTATTTAAAAGTTTTTAATTGTGTGGTATTGTTTGTTTTCAATTAAAAATTTATTTATTTATGTTTTACTTCCTTAACATATTTACGGTTAATATGCAAATAACTTGCTAATAACTGCAGCCCATGGCAACAATGTTCATTTTAGCTTTATAAAAGATATTTTATTTAATTTAATTTTAAATTCTTTATTAAATTATTACATAAATTGTTTATTCTACACTTTTTTGGTATCTTTAAAAGTTTTTATCTGATATACAAATTTTCTTCTGAGCACTTAAACTAAAGCAAATACTCGGTTTTTAGTTGACGAAATTTTATATCTTAAAAGGCTTTTATGGTTTATTTTATGTTAAATTTCTTTATTATTTAATTAAGTAAACACTTATTAGAATTCATTTATGTGAAAGTAATCAAATAAATTCTATTAAGCAAACTGAAATTATACTCTTACCTGAGTATCAAAGTAACGATGACATATTTAATAATAGATTGATAAATCATGCATTCTTGACGTTTGTCCACCACGTCTGCATCTATGGAAATAAAAGTTGCTCTTAATATATGATGTATATAAGTACAGATGCATGTCATATATGTAAATTGAAGTAATACAATAATAATGAAATGTAAAAAAAAATTTTAAAAAATTTACTTAAATTAAATTTTTATAAGTAATTGCTTTAAAATCGCATTGGTGCATTTTATTATCTTTTATAATAATAAACTTCGAATGGGTTTAAAATAATACAAAGTTCAATAGATTTTTTTAATAATAATAAATGCCTCACAATTATGTGTTTATGTTAAAAATACAATTTTAATTCTAAATTAAAAATAACTTAGCTTAATGAGTCAAATTTTGTTACACTTCTTTATGAGTCTATTCCAACAAAATATACAGACTAGGACTAAGAATAAGTGTTGAAGTACATTTCTCAGAAATTAACTTCTTAAAGTATTCTTTCTATAACTCCATAATTTCAGTCAAATATTTGATAACATCTCGCTAAAATCAAAACTCTACCACAAAAATGTCATGTAACATTTATAGATAAAAGTTGGCTCCATTTTTAATTCTGTAATAGAATTAGCAGAATTAAACATATTATATTATGATTTTAAAAATGTAGAAACAAATGTTATCTCTAATGTGGTTACAAATATAACACAATTGTGTGTCATCATCGGATAGATAACCTGGTCTGTCTCTCTGACTGATTTTGTCTTTTATTACATGGATTACAACCACCTCTAATATCGTTTCTCATATTACTTTGTAATATGCTTATGCTAATAAATATCTGATTTTAAATCCTAAGATTAACTGTCCACTTTTTAATACATAAAACTTACTGGATTAGCAAGACAAAATCGTCTGTCACAATTCTAAATAGGTTACTTAGTATGGACCTATTTAAAACACAAAGTAAATAAGTTCAAAATATATATTATGTCTATTGGAAATACAACTAGTAACTACTAACTAGATAGATAGATTAGTTCCATAGCCGCGTAGCAGTTAAAAATGTCATTATGTCTAAGAGAACCTAGGAAGACCTCTCAGAACTTTTAAACAAATTATAACATCCATTTAACAGTTTTACACTCTGATAGACCTATTTTATTAAGAGGTATCCAATGTTTTTCCCAAAACTATTTTAGATATTAAGGTCTATAGCATTTTAAAAACAACTCTAGAGACTCTGTAGATAACCTCCATGACAGACTTATTTTATTAAGAGTTATTCAATATTTATACCTAAAACTAATTTGGGTATCAAGGTCTATGGCATTTCAAGTACAATTCTGGAGACTCTGTAAACAATCTTCATGACAGATCTATTTTATTAAGAGGTATTCAATATTTATACCGAAAACTATTTTAGGTATCAAGGCCAATAGCATTTCAAAATAACTCTGGAGACTCTGTAGACAATCTTAAAACATAATTAACCCATAAGCAATATATAAACATATTTTCTTTAATTAATTTTGAAAAAAGTATTTATATTTCGCTTATTTTGAGAGTTCAGTTTCTTCATCTGACTCTCATTTGAACAAATTTGATTTGCAATTTTTAACCAAGGGATATGATTAGGCTTATCAATTGCCTTACTTCATATAGATTAGCTTATGAGGCTTAGTTCAGAGTCTCATAAGCTAAAATTTTAACTCATAGTTCTCAAATTAGTCTTTTTGAATAATAATTAATTAATTCCGAATTTTGAACTATAAACTAATTTTTATAAATAAAGGAAATAGTTCTCAAATTTTCCTCTTGTTGGATATATTGAACTCTTTAATAATATTGTAAGGGAATACAAAAATAGGCTGGGTATATTTTATTATACATTATATACATATAAATATAATATTGAACTATATTAAAATTCTCAGTTGTTTGAAGTATCACATACTATATTCTAATATATATCAGTTCTTTTCAACTTCGAGGACTTTATTGAAGAAATAATTTTACAAGGACTTACTTTCTAATTGTTTAAAAATTTAGAGAATGTATATGTGTATCTTTAAACTATAAATTTTGATAACAAGAGAGTACTATATATGACGAAATAAAAAATAACAGATTTAAAGTATTGAATACAATCGACAGATCACAACCAAAAATTTTATATAATATAACAATATATATTATATAATATAATATACAATAGTCGTGTTTTTTTTTAAACTCATAATGTGGCAACGCTTATGAGCTAATTTAGGTCGTGTGCGAGTTAGGCTAAGTTGCGTTCTAAATGAGGGAAATTCTAAGTTGTGCCCATAATGTAGTGATGTGTCGATACGTGTTGATAAATGACTAAATGTGTGCAGTGCAAAAAATCCCAAAAAATCTCCCATTTGGTTTAGCATCAACTTAGCCTAACTCGCACACGTCCTTAATACGAATTGATATAGTTCTATATGCGCTATCCTCCATACAAAACTTGATATCTTTTTCTATATGTGTGGAGGTAGTTCATGTGACTATGTACTATATATAGCGCTAAAAACAGAACACGACTAGTTTATATATAAAGAACAATATAACGTAATAAGAAACAAACCTAACAAAATTATTTATTAAAGTTGCTAAAAAATTTTATGACTGTTATAATAAAAACTAAAAAATTGTATTGAATTTAAAATAAAACTATGTAGAAAATTGTTAAAAAAATGTGTGTTTTTGTTTTTTTTTTACAATATTTTATTACTATTTATTTTTATTGTTAATTAAAAAATATCACACTGCAATTTATATATCTACGGTTTCTAACTTGCACCTTTAAAAGATAAGATTTTTCTAATCAAATAATAATGTTAATTTCACTCGTTAATAGTTTTTAATTATATTTATTTAACTTTGTATATATATATGACTATATATGTATATTATACAATAACAACTATTTACCTACTTTAAGTTTTTATAAATTATTTTAATCCTAGTCAATTCTATTGCTAAAAGCTATAAGATATTTCTTTTCTTTAATCAATTAATATAGAATTTATTTTCGAAACTGAACATACTCATTTTGTATAACAATTAAAATATTTATTATAAAATAAATTAACTTAAAAGTATATTGTGTGTACTTCAATATGTTAATTTTATACAAATAATATACATATATGTATATGTTAAAAAGAAATGAGTTAATTAAATAAGCTCCATTAATCAAATCATTTAAGAAAGGATCTTCGGTGGGAAGATCCTTCAAATCATAGCGAACAAGCAATGTTTCGCATTTATACTTATATATTTATATTTAATATAAATCTTTGAACATAAGTTAAATTAAAAAGTTAAACTTGTGTTTACAGTATTTAATAATCTGTTCAGAGATTTTATTTAAAATTTTGGCGTATGACAATTAAATTATTTTTAAAAAATTTTTGTTTTTATTAGTTAAATATATTTGTTTTAATAGTCCTTTAAATAGAAGGTAAATTACACTGTTTTGTATTATGTATTTATTATATATACAAGGCATAGAATATTTATTGGTTAGTGCTTTATATAAAAGTGCAGAATAATTACTATTATATATGTAAAAGAAAAATAAAATCTATGTAAACTTATATGTAAATTATAAATAACTTGTATTTATGTATGTCTATGTAGACAATATTAAACATAAAATATATTTATGAATAAAATTTAAAAAATAAAAACAAGTTTTTTAATTTAAAATAAATCAAATACCATACTTTAAGTTCGATTTCATTTATTTACTTATATCATAATATATTTAACATATACAGAGGTACTTAGCTACTTAGCTAGATACAATTACGAGAGAGTCTGCATTTAATGGTTTTATAAAGATGCAGTATGGATTGTAATTTTTCAGGTACACATTAACTTATCTAAGATGCTTATATTAAATTACTGATTATATTATTATTTGTTTGATATAGTAAATGATGATTCCAAGAATTATGAGGACCCCATAAAACAATTGAAATATTGATACAAAATATTAAACAATATACTCAATATAATTAATGTATCAATATCAATCAATATAAAAACGATATAAAAATCTAAAAGTTTTGACAGATAAGTAAGTGTGCACAATAACGGACCAAAACTTTCTGATAAAATCTAAATAACAAAATATTACTTACTTACTTAACTGGCCATAACAATCCATTACCGTATTTCGGCTTGACTTAGCAGTCCTCTCCAGGCGCGCTTTCCCCACTCTCATACATCAAATGCAGTTAACTCTTCTTCAACTTGATAACTCCATCTTAGACACGATTTATCTCTACGATTTCATCCTCCAAGTGACACATCAAATACCTTTTTTTACTGCAGGATCTTTATCAATTTTCTCGACATAGCTCAACAGCGAAGCCGCTGGATGTGAATTCGCTGCATTATAACAATGCCGTGATAAAGCTCGTACAGCTCATGGTTCATTCAAAGATCTCACGAATTTTTTTTTTCTCTAAAACTTCTGGCGCTGCTTTATACATTCGTGACAACGTCCATGCTTCAGCGGTAATTGTCGCAAACTCGTAGATAAGCAAAGATCTTACAAAGAACTAAAACTTTTCTTTCGAAAACTCCCAACGCTACTTCATCATTCTCTGATAACATCCATGCTTCTGTGCCATACAGATGAGCTACTTATAGAGTGTAAGGTTTGTCTGTCGTGAGATTGGGGTAACTTTCCAATTCCAAACTTTTCTTTCGTAAACTCCCAACACTACTTCATCATTCTCTGATAGCAACCATGCTTCTGTGCCATACATATGAGCTACTTATAGAGTGTAAGGTTTGTCTGTCGTGAGATTGGGGTAACTTTCCAATTCCAATTTCCTACTAAGCCCATAGTATGTTAGCACCTATTGACAATATTCATTCTTCATCTAATCTCTAGGCTGATTTGGTTCTTGCTTGTTAAAGCGGAGCCTAGATATATAAAATCCTTTACAGATTCCAAGGTATAGTCGTTAGCTACTATCTCGCCAGCTACTAAGTTACTTTAAAGAAAATCCAAATATAGTCTAAGAAAAAATATTTCACCAAGAAATTTTTAAAACAATTACTGAAGAAACATGATTATAAAATTCAATTATTTAATTTTATTAGATGAGATATAAGAAAGTGAGCCTTCTATTAATAATTAATAAACTTTAATGTGTCAAATAAATGGTGCAGTTATTATAAAAGTTTATGCTTATAGCTAAAACTTTATACATACATATATATATATATATATTAAGAAGTATTATATGAAAAATTCTCTTCTGTTCACACAAATAATTTTGATAGAATTTTGTAAATAGAATTTTTATTATTCCGAAATATTTTATAGATTATTTTCTTATATTAATACGAATAATATTAAATTTTTTTTTTAACAATATAATGAATTAACTACACATTGAGTAAAAAACAAATCAACAAATCTAATGGATATAAACAGTTTAAGAATATTATACCAAAAATTTTAAATACCTGTAAAATTATATATATATATTTATATGTGCAATACATACGGTATATAGTTTATAATGTCATAAACGTATTATTCTATTCTTTTGTTCGAAGGGATATTTTTAAATAATTTTTTGCTATTAATTTTGTACAGTGTATATAATTGCTGATATGATTTTATAAAAATTCCCAAAACAAAGGAAATCAGTGTTGCTGCTTGCTCGAAGGAAGATGTTATATGCAATAGTAGTAGCAATAGAGTAATATATACACAGAGCTCACATATATAAAGTTTAGAAGAAACAACAAACGCTTGGTATAAAATATATTAATTTAATTTAATTAAATAATAATAATTCCATACTATTTTTTTTTTTAAGTTTTACAAATCTTTGGTCGCATGTTATTATATTATGCTGTTTAGGCCACTACTTTTTTAGTTCATAGGCAACCCAGTTTGTCTTGTTCTTTTGTGTGCTAACAACAACGTGTGTTGACTACAAAGCCTAGCACATGTTTTAAAAATTAGTAAATAAAGCCAATTTTAAAATTTTATTTTAATATATTGGCAAAATAAATTAAATAATCATGGCTGATAAAGTTTTTCATCGACCGGGGCCCTTAAAGCAAACTAATAAGGCGCATAAAACAGGAAGGCATCGTTCTAAAGGCGCTATTGATAATGCACAGAAAGGTAATTCTATATGTGAATATGCGTAATTCTGTTATTATAAATATTTAACAATTACTCTACTCTTAATGCCATAGGAAAAGTTTCCTTAAAAGTAGTATCCCATAAACACAAACAACAACAGCGAAAAGAACAGCGTCGCAATCAATTGAATCAAGTACGTAAATACTGGCTCAGAAGCCCATAACTTAAATTAAACAAACCAAATTTATTTACAGCTACGTAAGAATAAACGAGAAGAATCTTTTGCAATAAAACGTCAATTGGGTGGTCAAAATACAGCACCATTTCTTGTTTGCATACTGCCGATGCACAAACAAATAGATCCAAGATCTGCGCTGGCCATACTGGAGAATTGTGATGAAGAAGCAGTTGTGGATCGTTCACTTGCAGGTGTTACTTATATAAATTTACCACGTTTCAAACAACGTTTTGCATTCATAGTACCGCCGGTTGGGCGAGGTAATGAAGTTGCTGTATTGGATTATCTTAAAGTATGTGATACAACGTTACTATTAACATCTGCTGCAATGGGTGAAGATGATGTCTTCGATAAATGGGGACATCGTATTTATAACATGATTTCAGCACAAGGTATACCAACACCTATTGTAGCTTTAATGGATTTAGAATCGGTTAATCCAAAAAGGCGTGCAAACTCTAAAGCTGCTGCATATAAATTTTTATCCAAACTATTGCCAGCGGAAAAAATAATGCAATTAGATACAAATGCTGAAGGTATTATTTTTTTGAAATATTTTATTTTATTTCTATTAATTAATATAATTAAAACATTTTCCAAACATAGGTCTTAATGTCATGCGTCGTGTTGGTGCTCAAAAGAAAAATGTGCTCTACAATAAAAATAATAGACCACACCTTTTCGGCGATAAGGTAGAGTTTATACCGAATAGTAATCCAACTCATGAGTTTGGCACACTAAAAGTAACTGGTTTCCTACGCGGCACGCCATTAGATGTGAACGGCTTAGTGCATATACCTGGTTTAGGTGATTTTCAAATGTCACAAATAGATGCACCACAAGATCCCTACAAATTGGATAAAAGTAGAAATGCTGAAATGTCTACGGATGAAGTGCGCAACTTATGTAAAGCTGATCCTACAAAGCAAACTTCTCTACAAAGTGAAAATATACCGGATCCAATGGATGCAGAACAAACATGGCCAACGGAAGAAGAAATACAAGAAGCACAGAAAGAAGCAAAGAAAACAAAACTCATAAAACGTGTGCCCAAAGGTTATAGCGCATATCAAGCTGCGTGGATACCTGATGTTGAAACTGTTGAGGATGATCAAAGTATTGCTGAGGATGACGACGATATGGATGACGATGATGATGATGATGAAAACGAAGATGAAGATGATGAGTTTATGTCATGTGATGATAAATCATTTGATGATGAAGTTGAAAAACCTGATTCGGACACTGAAGAATATGTTGAAACTGCTTCTGTATCTGATGTAGCTATAAATGACGAAAAATATGATTTACAAATGGATTTCCATGAGGAAAGAGATACTATGAAGAAAATTAAAGAAGCACGTGTAGATGAATTGTGGCCTGATGAAATTGATACACCATTGGATGTTGCAGCTAGAGATCGTTTTCAAAAGTTCAGAGGACTGGAATCTTTCAGGTATGTTAAAAATTTTATTTTAATAGTTTCGACACCACGACGAGGTGTGTTCTAAAGTAAATAGTTTTTTTTGGAAATAAATATTTCAGTATGTAATTTGGATCTTACCCTTTTGTCAGTCAAAATTTCATAATATTTAATGAAAGTGGAGATAATACAGCTGAAGTCACAGTTCTTTAGTAAGAGTTATGAATGGTTTTTACATTTACAAACGATTTTCTATCATCAGCAAATGTGTTTGCTTCATAAGGAAAAATTTGCACAGTACCAACTTAGGTGAATACTTAAAGGGATTGAAAGTTAAATGAAATTTTTTCCCAAAAAGCTGGTGACAAGTCTCGATTAAGGAACTCAATTTTTGATATTCAGTCAACTTGAGCGGACTGAATCGATCAAAGTACGATATTTTTGATGTGCTTAATTCTAAATAGATCAATTTTAATAAGGATTTGGAAAATCTCTGATGAATTCAAGTATAATTTTGTTAAAAACTGAGCTTAAAACTGATTTCTGTTAGCCAAAATCCATTCCTGTCCTCACCATTTCTCGCAATAAATTCACTTCTATTTCATCCAAAGCTCTTGAAATTTTCACAGTACGGCGTTTATATTTTGATAGGCCAAAATGCGTTTTAATCTTCACAATTTCATCCAAATGACTCGTTCTTTTCATCCAAATGACTCGAAATTTTGAGAGTCTATCAGTGTTGGATGCAAATGTTAAATGTAATAAACAGTTGATTGGTATATTTGTACCACTGACTAGAAACACCTGTTTACTTTGGACTCTATCTTGTATAAAAGCAAATTGATATAGTATTATTATCAATATATATTTATTTATATTAGTTTTTTATTATTATTATTATATATATATGTATTATTGTAAATATTTAACTACAGAACATCACCTTGGGATACAAAAGAAAATCTACCCAGTGATTATGCACGCATTTATCAATTCAAGAACTTCGATCGCACTAAGAGACGTATTATCACAGAAGCCAAAGAAATTGATGGCGTTTTGGTAGGTTCTCAATTCAATTATTATTAAATAAATAAAAAATATTTTTATTATTTATACAAATAGCCTGGCTGGTATATAACAATACATATCATTAATGTACCAGCAACAAAATGGTTCGCTTATAAATCTGCACAACTCACCAATAATGTCATTGTCTATGGCATGTTACCACATGAACATCAAATGTCAATCATGAATGTTGTGCTCAAACGTTTACCCGACTCAGAAGTGCCAATAAAATCAAAAGAAAGAATTATTATACAATGTGGTTATCGTCGCTTTGTGGTTAATCCCACTTACAGCCAACACACTAACGGAGATAAACACAAGGTTTGTTCATAATCATTGTATGAAAAAAACAACTATAACTATTTCTTCTGTTTTTTTTTAGTTTGAACGTTATTTCCGACCACACGAAACAGTTTGTGCTACATTCTTTGCTCCTATACAGTTTCCACCAGTACCAGTGCTTGCATTTAAAGAAAATCCTGATACCACCCTGGCACTGGTTGCGAGGGGTTGTGTGATTAATTGTAATCCTGACCGTATTATACTTAAGCGAGTTGTACTAAGTGGTCATCCTATGCGCATTAATCGTAAATCCGCGACAATACGTTATATGTTCTTCAATAAGGAAGATGTAGAATACTTTAAACCAGTAAAACTACGTACAAAATGTGGTCGTTTAGGACATATTAAGGAATCTTTAGGTACACATGGTCACATGAAATGCTATTTCGATGGACAGCTACGTTCGCAGGACACAGTCTTTATGTATCTTTACAAACGAGTTTATCCTAAGTGGACCTATGAAGAATGCCTAATTAGATGCGAAGAAAATAATCAAAGATCGGAGTTAATGATGGATATGTGATATCAATAGTTATTCATTTAAAAATAAAGATTGACTCGTTATTTGTTGAAAATTAAGAATGCAATAATGAAAAAGATATTACAAAAAATTAATGCTAATGGTTTTTTGATTGAAGTTATAATAGTGTTCGCATTGCATTTTAGAAAATTAACACAACTTTTTTTTAAATTAATATTTAAAAGTTAAATTCATTTTATAAAACAAATGTTGTTACATTAAATATGTCATAATTAGTACTTTTTGTAACATTAGTCTGGCTGGTTACAATTTAGAAAACAATTTAAAAGATAAATATTTATATTAAAGATTTGTATTTATTACTTATTTAAGATTTTTTTTAAATTACGTCCTTGCAAGATCTTTGTTAACAAAACATTAGCCTAAGTCTAATAACAAATTAAAATTAAAAGAAATTTTACTAATTTTACGTCCTCCATCTACTAATGAAATCATTTATAATAGGCGCTACTCTTTCGGGATTATTTAAATGCACATGATGTGTGCCCTCCACTTCATGATATTCGAATAGAGGATTCTGCTTTAATATTTCAAGTGTATCGTCATAGTTCTCCTTTGGCTCGTAATATGGACCTCCTAATGCTTTAATAAATAAATGTGGACATTTTATACGCTTCGCCATCTCGAATGGGACTTCCCGCGAGAATGGATAAAACATCGAACTTTTCAAACGACTATCGCGCGCAAAATAATACTTATGAGGCTCATGTTGTGATGGTTTTGAATTCCTTTGAAGTAAGTACTGACATGACTCTACTGAAACAGATTTCTCAGTGCCGATATGTAGACGTTCGACAAGTTGTTCCCATTCGTAACAAGGGGGTTCTGATTTACTACGCATACGTTTTTCCATTTTAATAAAATCTTCTAAACGTGTTGAAATTGAATCAACAATTTTGTCGGGATTTCTTGTAATTGGCTTTAAGACATCTAATCCAACGAACATATCAACTTTATCAGGAAATAAAGCACTAAAAACGAAACCATTTATAGAGCTCATAGAATGAGTTATCATTGATATTTTATCCCATTTAAACTCTTCCATTAGACGCCTTAACAGTACAACATAATCGA